AAGTATTTAAATATAAATGATGTGATTGAAAAATACCGTAAATGTTTAAATTTCAGTAAAAGACACATTGCTGTTAATCTACAGAATACTCCCTCACTTTGAACACAGCTATCTATCTTCCTTGCCCCTTTCTAACAAAGTTCTGAGAGCCCTTGCTCCCGAGTGCTCTTGTGGCTGCCTCAGTGTCCTGAATCCCCAGCCTAAGCAGTGCTTGCTTTTTTCAGTCTTCACACTCTGAAACATGGTTGTTTAATTAACTGTATTTCAAACTTTCGCTTTTTGCTCTAATACCCAGCATGTTGATTGGGTTTATCTCCCTTCCTTCCCTTGGAGCTCTGCCATATTCTTTTCTTCTATTTTATCTTTCTGTTTAGCATTCAGGGTTTTGTTTTGTTTTGTTTTGTTTTGTTTTAGTAGAATTTGCTTTAACCCAGTCTCAGCATGTTGCCAGAACCAGAAAGTCATGTTTCTGTAAATTTACTTTTAAGATGTGAGTCACACATTTCTTAAGGTATTCTGTACTAACTGGACGAGTGAAAGAGGGTGTGTGTGTGTGTGTGTGTGTGTGTGTGTGTGTGTGTGTGCGTGCTGATTGCTTTTCAGTGCTGAAAGTGACATTTAAAATGTGTTGATAGGTGCCTCATGTGGTTGGGTAGACGGTGCACTAAACAGATTCAGGTGAATCTTGTTTAAAAGTCTTCTGTTTGTGTACTAAGATCAAAGAGTTACGTAGTTAATGTTATATTCTCATATGGGTCAGAAATGTTGGTAGTATTTTACCTGATTTAATATGATAGAAAAATATTAGGAAATCTAGTTTTAGTACCAGACAGGCACTTTATATGAAGTTTCACTCAAGATACATCTAGAAAATGAAATATTAATATAAAATTATTGCAAATAATCTCAGGAGAAATGTATTTAGATATAAACACTGTCAGTAGTAAAGAACATACAGGTAGGTATTCAACTTTATTTACAGCAAAAGATCTTGCAAGTAAAAAAACCAGTTAGATATTTTTCACTCTTGTGTTATCTGATCAGCTTGGATCTTGTCCTGGATTTGTTACTTAATGCAATAAATCCTTTAGGTTTAAGACTGTCTTACATAATTCAGATGGAATGATAATTTCAGCAAATGAATGCTAGGATTACAGGTGTGTACCACCACATCTGGAGTGGGGGAACGTTTTTTTTTTCTTCTTGTACTGAAAATTGAACTCAGGACCTTGCTCTTGCCCGGCAGGAGTAGTGCCATTGAGCTACATCCCCTACCCTGGATAAACTTCTTTGTGAATGTTAATACTGATTTCCTTCCTTCTTAGCAGTACCTTTATTTGGAAAGAAGTTTCAGGGTGTATCTTTGACAGTTTGGGTTTTTTTTCTTTTTCTTTAACTTGTATTGAGTTTTTAAAAAGTAATTTAAAAATTATTTCAAATTAACTTGTACAACCAGGATGTATCTGTTAAGTACTTAAGATCTGTAATCTGGTATTGCTAATTTGATCCAGCCACGACCCTGTTGGTAAAATAGGAGCAGAATGTTGTGTCTTTAATGGGGCAAAAGCACGCGTGTCTGAGCATGTGGGGAGATGGAGTTAACTCTGTACCTGTTGTTCCCTTCACCGAGCTGGTTCTGACAAAGAACCATGCTGCCTGGCTGAAACTCCAGGATGGATATTGCCCAAGTCACTGTATAAAAGCCCAGTGCTGTCAGTCGTACGTAATAGCGATGTGCAGAGTCATGAAGCTAACACTCTTAGAAAGACGTTCCAGTCAGCAGTAGACAGACGATTAGCAGCTTCCGGGGCCTTGGAAGGCATATGTGCCCACAAGTCTGGTGCAGTCCTTGTACCCAGGTTGTTGCACACACCCACACCTGGAAAAAGGGATGGGGAGGCTCTGGGCTAGAATGGAAATTTCTGTCTGCTTCTCATTCCAGCTCTTATCCTAGCCGGGCTTTTCTGGGCTTCTGCTCTACTCTTCTGTGCATTGAATCACAAAGTCCCAGGCATAAAGGGCCTCTTGGTTTTGTGACTGCAGGCAATTTCCTCTCCAGCCCTGGCCCCTTTCTCTGGGGAACATCCATGGTATTTTAATGTGATACCTGACACACTTCAGGGACCAGGAAAAATGAGAGGCACTTACATTTGTGTGATGAGGAGCAGGTAGAAATACTGTTGGTTTTTTGATGCTACTTCTCAGAATGTATTCTTGTCAAATTTTTTTTAAGACAGCAGTGGATGAATCAATTTGAGGTTCAAATCTCTGCCTCCCCCTCAAAGAAAACAGAGAAATCCAGAAGTCACCCATTATACATAAAAATGGTAGCAGAGAGCCAGGCATGATGGTGTGTGTCTGTAATTCTAGCCCTTGGAGGCTGAAACAGGAGTAGTATAAGCTCAAGGCCAGCCTGGACAATTCGGAAGACCCTGTCTCTAAATAAAGAGTAGGAAGGGCTGGGGATGTTGCTCATTGTAGGGGCTCTGGGTTCAGTCTCCAGTACCAAGAGAAATAGAAGATCATAACACTTGTGGCATGTGTGTTGTTTTTCTTTTAAAAGAAAAAGTGTTAATGTGTGAGTTATTTTTTCTAAACTGGAACCTCAGTATTCTGTTTAGGGTTGCAGTTTGGGCACTTGTCTATAAAAGGTTCACTCACCGTCACTATCAGGAAAAAAAATCGAAACGCGCTATTGTTGTAAGAGTCTGAGGAATTTGTAAGTTTTATTAAATAACTGTTAACATTGTCTTGGACAGTTGGGTGTTGAGATGAAGCAGGAAGTCTTTCTATCCTGCAGCTCAGGCATCTAACTCAGGAACCCCGTGTGTGGGCAGGTGCTCTGCCGGAACACACCTCACCACATGCCCCAGAGAGGACTCTTGGAACCTGTTCTTTCAGTTCCTCTTTGCAGCTCAGCGCATTGACTTGCACAGGAGTATTCCAGGGTCGACTTGCGTTTGGGTGTGGGCCTGAGCGACCTCTGCCGCGCTCCAGCAGCTTTTCAGGTTCAGCCCACTTCAGTGCTTGCCACTTTCGTAACATATGCACTCAGGGAGCATCATGTAATCTCACTACTTTCATTTTTGTGGGTAAAAAAAAAAATTTCTCAGCCTGAGGATTTTAAAAATAATTTTAAACAGTATTCTATTTACTCTTATTAAAATAACATGATACAGTGATTGTATTTTGGGCCATTTTTACTTACATAAACAAGACAATTCTTGAATGAGAGCTCTGTTTTCTACCCTTTTTTTATTAGATCTGTAAACAGTCTTCTTTCTCTTCAGTAATATATTTATGTGAGTTGGAAGCAATCTTACCAATCTATTCTCTAAACTCCATCCCTTTTTTATAAATCTTAGCTTATACTTGTACCTTTTTTTTTTTTTCCTCTTTTTTTTCCCTCAGACAGGGAATAGTAGTAGTAGGTTGCCCAGGGTGACCTGGAGCTCCTGGTTTCCGGCACTCTTCCTGCCTCAGCTTCCTGAATAACTGGAACACAGGTGCCCCTGTGTCCAGCTTTAGAGTTAGTACTTTGATATCTTGTTTACCGATTCCGGTAGTATCTGGCTATTTTTCCAAAATGCAAACATCTTCATCCTTTTGCTTAAAATGCTTTTTACTTGTTCACTTTGCCTAGAGCAGTGCTTTCAAGCTGTACCCCTAAGCAGGGCAGCCATCAATAATAGTTAATGTTTACTAAGCACATAACTTGATAATCTTCAGGACTATTGTGTGCATGTATGTTTGTGTGTGTGTGTGTGTGTGTGTGTGTGTGCTTGGAGTTGTTTGTTTATTTTAGGGCTTTTTGAGACAGGGCCTTGCTTCAGGTTGGCCTTGAACTTGCAGTAATCTTCCTACCTCAGCTTCCCTAGTGCTGGGATTACAGCTGTGTGCCACCATACTGGCTCTGTGGTTATATTCCATAGTACTTTTCAAAACAAAAAGGTTTTTAATTACTTAGCATCTAGTAAAACTGATAGTTGAAAATACCTACCGTATCTGTCATTTGTGACTTTTTCTACTCTCAGCCATACCTTGCACCAGCAGTTTGAGAAGCACTAACCCTTGGATCAAGTCTAGATATCTTTGTATGACATCAGGGATAAAAGGCATACCTTTTCACTTAATTTTTAAAATATTTAGACTCAGGGTTGGGGACATAGCTCAAGGTAGCAGTGGTTGCCTAGCACATGGGAAGACTGTGTTCAATCCCAAGCACTGCTTAAAAAAAAAAAAAAATTGGGTATGGTTGGCTTAGAAATCGCTGTTGAGTTGCTTTTTGAGTTCCCACACCTCACACACAGTTGCGCACATGCCTTGCTCTAAACAGATCCTTGTCTATAGAGGCTTCTGGGTGCTGTTGCTCTTGGCCTTGATGAGTTACTTGTTCTGTGGTCCCACTGTTCTCCCTCATATCTGATGTTTAAACATTTTGTTTCCTCTCCCTAAAGTGATTGCATGTTTCTGTCTTTTGCCTGGTTGTTCCTACTCTTGTTTCTGTACAGCTCAAGTAGGACACCCCCTCCCTGCCTGAAGGTGACCAGAGGCCATCTCTCTCAGTGCTAGCTATTTCCGGTGCTACTTTAGCACCTGATTTCCATATCCTAATGCTTGGCGTGTAGTTAATGATGCATAGAGCCAGGAGCTTCTTGAGAACAAGAGTCTGATCTGTGTTCACTCTGGTCAAGTGCCTGTCACCTACCAGATAACAATGAATGTGTGTTGAATCAATGAGAGAACAGATAGGCTTTTTCTGATGACAGTGCTTGCTGTGATCCAGCTTTGCTGTTGGAAGGTAAGGGCCTCGTGATTCAGCCTTGCCGAGGAATCCTGTGGCAGTGAGCTGATGCCCGCTCCCTGGAAGTGTGCCTCATCTGCACCCTGGAAGGGTGCAGGGGCATGTTACTGCTGCAACAGGTAGGGGTTCAGATGTGCGCTTGGTGGAAGTAGGTATTACTTTTACCTGAGCTTAATATTTTATCTGTTTCTTTCAGGAATTGTTGGACAAGTATTTAATAGCCAATGCAACTAATCCAGAGAGTAAGGTCTTCTACCTGAAAATGAAAGGCGATTACTTCCGATACCTTGCTGAAGTTGCGTGTGGTGATGATCGAAAACGTAAGTATGTGGTGACTGGGAGCAGGGAGCAGAGCTGACTGGGGTGCTGTGCTGCCATGGCAGTCTGGGTGTAGCTTCTGGGTGCTGTGTTGTGTCCTGTTCCTTTTTATTTTGGGGGTGGAACCCACGGCCTCTGAGGAAAGTGCTCTCTCACTGAGCTCTGTTCCCAACCCTTTTTTATTGTATTTTGAGACAAGGTCTCACTAAGCTGCTGAGGCTGGTTTTGAACTTGTGATCTCCTTGCCTCAGACTCACAAGTAGCTGGGATAACAAGTATGTACCACTGTGCCAGCCAGGTTCTTTGTACCTTAAACAAAATTGTAGAACTTACGTATCAAGAAAATAAATATTAGCTTCTTAAAAATCAGTCGTAAATTTGTATTGTGTGCCCTTTTAAAATACTAATATATGAGCTCTAATTATAATTCCATATTACTAAAAATAGTCTTACTCTTATGTTTCGGGGCTTTGGGATTTTGGTTCATGGTGTTCTTTTTTTGTTTTGTTTTTTTGAGGCAGGGTCTCACTATGTAGTTGAGACTGACTGGGAACTCACTGTGTAGCCCAGGCTGGTCTTGAACTCACAGTGATCCTCCTGCCTCAGCCTCCCGAGTGCTGGGATTACAGGCATGTGCCACCATGCCCGGCTTGGTTCATGGTGTTCTTTGCTCCAGAACCTTTTGAGTGATTCCGTATTTTGTGTGGAAATTATAGGCTCTTGTCCTTTTTCTGTAGGTTGTGTCCATTGCTCCTTGTATTAAGGAGCAATGTTGCTGATTGTATATAACCACATATGTGAGGAAAGCATTGAAATAAGTGTATTGTTGGTGTGCAGTTTGTTCCAACTTGGCAGTGAGTTTGAATGACCCGTACAGTTAGGTTTTATTTGCATACAGAGTTTCTCTGGTGTGAAAAACTAAAAGTGTAAATATTTGCATACAGAGCAACTGTGTTGTCTGAAAAGCAGTGGTCCTGAAAATAGATTTGAGTATTAAATACTTAACTTTGTTTAACCATAATCAATTTACCTAATTTGAATGTGAAAAGGTCTCCTGGAGTATTATTGGTACTTAAGTATAATATAAATCCTACAAACTTTTATGAATGTGCCTGCTTCTAAATTTACCAAGTTCTAGGTAGACAGATATCACTTAACTTTTGATTTTTTTTTTTTTCTTTTAAATCAGTGAGTACATATTTTACTTTTTTTTTCTTTTGGTACCGGGGATTAAACTCAGGTCTTTGGGTTTGCAGGTGGTGGAACCGAGTACATATTTTTTTTTGTTAATATTGACCCATCCAAAAAGGTATAACCCTACCAATAGCTACTGTAATCCCTCGCTGAAAATGAGACACTTTTGTCATCCTGAATATCAGTGTAGTTGAAAATATAAAGAGAAAATTGTAACCTGCTATAACAAAATCTGTACAATAGCTGGCTTGGTGGTGCACATCTGTAATCCCAGCACTTGCAGGGCTGATATAGAAGGATCACGAGTTTGAGCCCAGCCTAGTCCACACAAGTTCTGGGAGGCAGAGGCAGGAGCATCACAAGTTCAAGGCCAACTCGGGCTATGTAGTATGACCTTGTCTCAAAACAACAATAAAAATCTGTATGCTAAATTTATGTAGCTCTGTTAACTGACCAGTTTATTTTGCTGTGAAGATAAACAGAATTGGACCTGAAAATGTTGGCACAGAGCTGAAAGTAGGAACACCAGCAGCTCTAAGGGTACCTTTGGGGGAATGAGACATAGCTCCAGGCTCGAGATTGTCAGTACTTCTGGGTCCCACACAGACATTTGTAGATGACTGGATACTTGCGTGTGTACTGCGTGGTATGAGCCTGCACCATACAAGGGCTGCCCTCACTGCGGCTAGACAGCAGAGGGGGAAGGCGCCACATTCAGGCCATAAAGGGATAGGTTGGTTTGTGTCATGGGAGTGGCTCTACAGCTATTGTGGGCCAGTGGCCTGAGAGAACTGCTTTTTGAAACATGGGCATAATCAGGTTAGTGTTGATAATACTTCCTGAGATTATGTTTTATAAATGGGGATGACATTTTTATTAATACAATAATCAGACTTTGGTCAAAGTAGATTTTGTTGGCGCTTTTATATTAGCCTTTTACATAATATCTTGATAACCAAGATCAGTATGATTTCTACAAATAGTTACAAAAATACAAAGATGTTGGTGGAGTTCATATTTATAAATTGTTGTCATTATTTAAGAAACAGATAGTCCAATGAAATTATTATTACTTTTTCGTACTGGGGATCAAACTCGGGACCTTGCCTTTGCAAGACAGGTACGGTGCCACTGAGCTACATCTCCGGCCCCCAGTGAAATTATTTTTAATTGCCGTGTTTCTAGGTAATACACAAGACAGGAAAGAAGAAAGTAGTTTTAGCCCTAGAGTTGGGAAAAATCTATGCTGTTTTAGGTGTTTTGATTAAGCATATTATAAATAAGCAACCTTGTAAACTAGTTTCCTATTGTGATTTTAAAAGAAGGCAACAGAAAAATCTGGTTCTGTCAAGAGTCAGTACGTCGAATATGCTCATGTATTTAACGCACTGTATACTGGATAGACATGTTCGAAATCATGCTTATTTATTTTTTCTGTTACAGAAACGATAGATAATTCGCAAGGAGCTTACCAAGAGGCGTTTGATATAAGCAAGAAAGAGATGCAGCCCACACATCCAATCCGCCTGGGGCTGGCTCTTAACTTTTCTGTGTTTTACTATGAGATCCTTAATAACCCAGAGCTTGCCTGCACACTGGCTAAAACGGTAAGATGTGTGTGTATTCGGGAAGTACTCCAGATAAAGCTGTTTGACATAGAGTTTCTTCTGTGCGTCTTCATTTTTCACCACCTCGCCCACCCATCCTTACCCATTACCACACCACACTCAATGATTATGAGCAGTAATGTCTGGCCAAAGAGCGTATTGGGCAGAGTGGTCTAAGAAGCATGAATAACTTTAGGAAGGAAACATAAGAGATTAACAAGTAATGACTGCTGGTTTAGGGCTAAATACCTGACTTCTCTGGTATTTCAGAATTGGGGAGTAGGAGGGTCTTCTGCAGATAAATACAAGTTCTCGTGTGAGACGTATGGTAAGCCTTGCTGCTGTACTGTGTGTTCTGCAGAGGAACCAAGGCATACTTGTCCATTTGCATATGTAGCAAGTTTCAGATCCTGCTTCTGTGTTCTTACACGGGACTCCGAGGGAATGAATGATTCCACGGAGCTTGCAAATTGATGAACGAGTATGTCTGTGATGAATTTTGTTCACCTGTTTTATAAAAATGGTTTATAACTGTAGACTAAGCAGTTTCTTTTCTTTTCTTTTTGGTACCGGGGATCTAACTCAGGTCCTTGCCCTTGCGAGGCAGGCGGCAGAACCACTGAGTCAAATCCCCAGCCCCAAGACTAAGCAGTTTCTGTGTGTAAATGTTAATGTGTGGATATTGCTATTTATCAGGCTTTCGATGAGGCCATTGCAGAGCTTGATACACTGAATGAAGACTCCTACAAAGACAGCACTCTCATCATGCAGTTGCTCAGAGACAACTTAACAGTGAGTGGTGCACTCCTAGTATTTCCTTTCAGGAACAGAAGCATCTTTTGGAGGCAGTTACATGAGCTCTGTGCTCTCCTAGAAAATGATACAGATACGTAAGTGAAGTTTGCAGATAGCTTTTAAAGGTGAATAAGCATTTTACAGATTGCTAAGCTTGTAGGAACTGGTGAAATTGCTTTCTTTGGAATGAAGATGTCAATAAATTACATCACTATAGAGAGGTTTTGCAGCTTTAGTATTTCCTTTCTTTGGGTCAGTTAGCTGTACCAAGTTAGGGGCTTAATGGCTTTGAGGCTTTCCTACAATTACATGACTCCTTATTTTACTAAAAAGCTTACTTTCTGAATTACTGTTGGTGTTTGCAAGCATTTCATAAGGAAGCACATATCTAGATTTATTCCATCTCTCCTAGGCCCAAGCCTCTGTTTCCTTTGTTGATCAGGGAAATGTGTTAGTCAGCTCTGACACTGTCAGAAAATACCTGCGATAAACTAGTTGTTTATTTTGGGTCGTGGTTTCACCATGGCGAAGTGCAGTGTAGAAAAACTGTTCACCTCCTGGTGGCCCTGAAAGCAGAGACAGGAGATGGCTGGGGTCCCAATGTCCCCTTCGAGGATGTACCCCAAGTGACTTACCTTCCTCTTCCTGAAGGTACTAGCATCGTGAGCCGGGGCCCAGGCCATTAATAGACCTGTGGGGGACACTTGAAGCCCAAACTACAGCAGGAAGTGACTGAGGGCGAGTAGAGTGAGAGCTTTTGCATAGTTCACCATCACAGCCCTGGTACTGGGGGTTGAAAATAAGGCCTTCGCACTGAGCTGTGTCCCCAACCTATGTTTCACTCTCAGGAAGAGATGAGGTCTTGCCAGGTTTCCCTGGGAGCACAGGGATTATGTGCATGTACCACTGTACCCCATTACATAAAATCCTTATTGGTTCAAGTAAAAAAAAATTTTTTTTGGCACTGTGGATCAAACTCAGGACCTGTGCTTATGAGGCAGACTCAGTGTCACTGAGCTAAATCCCTGGCCTGGTTTAAGTAAATTTGATAGGATAATATCCTAGATTTAATGGAAAGTGAAAAAAGGAGTAGGTTTTTTTGTTTGTGTGTTGTTAAAGTGGGGCCTTTGCATTGAGCCATATCCCCATCCTTTTTAAAAAATTGTTTGAGACAAAGTCTCACTGAGTTGTCCTGGGTGGGCTCAACCTTGCAATCCTCCCGCCTTGGCCTCCTAGAATGCTAGGATTACAAGGTGTCCTACCCCGCCCAGCACACTGCAGTCTTAGGCCTCAGATCCCAGTAGTTGTGAAGGGACAGTAGAGTGATCAGAATAGCTCCATGGAAGAAGAGCAAACTGGGTGATTCGACCTCTTCCCAGTCTCACCTTAGAACTCACTGTATTATAACCTGTTTTTCTGTCTTACTGAGAAAGTTCTCCAGGGTGTTTGCTTTTGTTTGTTTTAGTATGTTAACGGTAACTTACAGATCATATAACATTCTAGGTTTTCTAAAACTCCCGGGGTGGGGGGGAAGAAAACTTCCTGGAGTGTCTTGGTGACAGTCTGATAAAATTTAATTGATTAATGATGTTTACTTCCCATTTTCACCCTAAAGTTAGAGAGCTCCTTGGACAGACACATTTTTGTTATGTTTAGCATCTGGCCTAACTTACAGACCCTGTGTGTTCATGTGTGTGCACACCTGCTCTTCCCTCTGGCCTCCATCACCCACTGCTGTTTAACTCTTCAAGAAGCACAAAATGAGAGCTGGGCGTGGTGGTGCATGCCTCACTCAGGAGGCTGAGGCAGGAGGATCACTGTGAGTTCGAGATCAATCTGGGCTACATAGTGCGTTCCAGGTCAGTCTCAACTACGTAGTGAGACCCTGTCTCAAAAAACCAAAAAGAAGGGCACAAAATAAGTTGGCTGAGTTTCCTAGGTGTTAGCCCTTCATACACTTGGAAACACCTCAACTGTGATCGTACCCTTCCTGCGAACAATTTTTGTCTTATTGGTTTCATAAATTATATTTCAGGAGTGCTTTAAGAAGAATGGTGAGCTTCTGGGAATGAAGAGAACATTAAATTTTAGGGGCACTGGCTTTGTTGATTCTGAAGCGACAGTATTTACAAACCTGTAAAAATGTAAATGGGTGTGGGTAGTTTTTGGACTTGTGAGACAGAGCTTTCTTTCTTAGCCAGCCTCTACTCAGGAGTTTATTGCTCTCAGAATTGCGTTTTGAAACCAACTAGTAAGACTTGCTGTGGTGGTCTAATCGAGACGCGGTAACTTAACGGAACTCTTCTTTTCCAGTTATGGACATCAGACAGCGCGGGAGAAGAGTGTGATGCAGCAGAAGGGGCCGAAAACTAAGTGCACACAGGGTATCATCCTTCCTCCCATCGAGAAACCTTTTTACACATCTCCATTCCTACTCCACTTGGATTTCCTCAGCAAAGAACCCTTTCATGTGTATGGAAGCGGCTGTTTCTAGTCTTTTCACACTGCAGCTTTGGGAAAACTCCACTCCTTGGTTTGTGTTTGTCTTGGCCTTCCTGATGTGCAGTTACTGCTGTAGAAAAGTATTAATAGCTTCATCTCATATAAACATAAGTAACTTCCAACACTTATGTAGAGGGCTAAAAATGTATTTGGTATTTAAGTAATCTGAACCAGTTCTGCAGTGACTGTGTTTTGTATTACTGCGACGATATGATGACAATGTAGTTAATTACAATTTAAAGAGTGTTCTACATAACTTCTTAATTTCTACATTCCCTCCTTTTCTCTTCTTTGGGGTTTCCATTCAGTAAGCAACATTTCCACCCTGCTGCTGTGTTCCTTTTTAGTAGGAATCCAGAAGTATTAGCCTGAATGGGAGAGCACATGGTGTCGCTGGGCCGGGAGGCAGGTCACAATTGAGAAGCCTCCCGTATCCCCTTTGGTGGAGGTCATGTCTGTCTGTGACAACAGGAGTTTCCTTACCTTCATTTGCTGCTGTTTAAGTTGACAACTTCCCTTCCCAATAAAAATTCACTTACACCTCCTGCCTTTGTAGTTCTGGTATTCACTTAACTATGTAATAGAAGTAGCATGTTGCTGCCAGGATCCAAGCATTGCTTTTGACAAATTAAAGTGCATGTCATTTCTTAATACACTAGAAAGGGGAAATAAATTAAAGTTCATGAGTCCAAGTCTAAAACTTTAGTACTTTTCCATGCAGATTTGTGCACATGTGAGAGGGTGTCCAGTTTGTCTAGTGATTGTTCCTTAGAGAGTTGGACCACTACTGTGTTGCTAATCATTGACTGTAGTCCCAAAAAAGCCTTGTGAAAATGTTATGCCCTGTGTAACAGCAGAGTAACAGAAAATAAAGTTACGTTTTATAAAACCACTTCCTGTGGCTTTTTAACAATTGCATACCCATGTTTTAAGGACAGGCGGATCTCCTGCTTCTTGAAGTTTGTGGACACTTCCTTTCATGGTGTGTGCAGTGCGTACAGTGGTGCCCGTCCTCCTGTACTGTGGTGTGCTTGTCTGGGGTGCCTGGGCATGCATAACATCCCACACCCCACACCCCACCGTGTTTCTTAGACTGTGTGCCAGAGATCAGTCTCTCGGGCTATCTCTTCTGCAGAGGTAAATGTGGCTGAGCGTTCAGGGGAATGTAGTGGACATTTGAGAAAAGCCTTGGCTGGTGGTAGAATTGTGCTTTGGTGATCCTCAGACGGTGTTTAGTTTTCAGATCGTTTTCTCTAGAAACGTTCAGTTGTATCACTAGTGACTTTCAGTAATGTTTTAATCATATTGCCCATCTGTTTTGCTTATCTGTCCTAAGTATTGACTTGAAAACTGATGATTAAGTAAGAAGATAATCTTTTTTTTTTTTTTTTTTGAGACAGTGTCTCACTATGTAGTTGAGACTGCTCTGGAACTCACTGTGTAGCCCAGGCTGGTCTCACAGCAGTCCTCCCTGCCTCAGCCTCCCGAGTGCTGGGATTACAGGTGTGAGCCGTCATGCCCGGCCTACCTCAGTCTCTTGAGGGCTGGGATTACAAGTGTGCGCCACCATGCCCAGCTGTATGTTTATTGGTCTTTCTTTTAAAATACTAAGGGTTGAACTAAGGGTTGAGCCTTCTTACTGAACTACATTCCCAGCCAGCCCTTTTAAAAATAATTAGTTTTTTTTTTTTTTTTTTTTTAGACAGGGATGAGAAGCTAATCTTAAGGAATAGCTGTGTAGCTTTTCTTTTCCTAAAACGTGAATGTAAAACAAGTCTCTTTTTTTTTTTTGTACCGGGGATTAAACCTTGTGCTTGGGAGGCAGGTGGTGGAACTACTGAGCCAAATCCCCGGCCCCAAACAAGGCTCTTTGAGGGAAGATGAAAAGGCAGGTATCAGTAGTGCTTTAGGTAGTGCCCATTTCAATAACGTTAATGGATCTTTTGAATAAAAACGTCAGCAAAGGAGAAAAAAGTTCAGTGAAGCCAAGCACAAGTAGTAGTGCATGCCCATAATCCCAGCTACTCAGGAGACTGTAGCATGAAGATCGTTGTTCAAGGCTGGCTGTGCAACTTTTTGAGACCTTATGTCAAAATTAAATCAAATTTAAAAAGGGAGAAGTGGAATGTAGCTCATTCGCCCATATTCAGTCCCCAGTACCGTTAAAGAAAAACACATTTTTTTCAGCAAAGATAGGAAGAACACTGAATCGGGAAAATAGTATCATGTCTTAAAAATAATCCCAGCACTCAGGAGGCAGAGGCAGGAGGATTGCCATGAGTTCGAGGGCAGCCTGAGCTACATAAAACAGTGAATAAAGTAATGATTTCTGAGTTGCCAAAGTAGCCTTAAGCTTGTTCTCAGCATTTAGTCCATTTAAATTAAATGTCTTCTCACGAGGGGTCCACTGCATCTTTAAAAGCAGGAAGTTTACGAGTGAGGGGAAGATTTAAAGCCACGTTTGAGCTTTCTTCTTTTGCTTGTTTGTACTGCTTAGGATTGAACTCAGGGGTGTTCTACCACGGACTACACCAGCCCATCTTCTATTTGTTTCAGAAAGGGTCTCACTAAATTTCCTGGCCTGGGCTTGCAGGTATGCACCGCCATCCCCAGTTGATCAGCATGCTTCTTGCAGCTCTAGGTCATGACCAGTTGGTACCGAACAAGTCACAACCAGCTTTTTATTGACGCGGGTAAATACTGTGTTACAAGGGTAACACCCTGTGACACTAGTTGCAGTCTGTGTATCCAGACTGTGGGTTGTGATGTACAGTTGATTGCAGATGAGCTTGGAAGCAGTTTCCAGATTGTCATCGAGGTTTCTTTGAAGTCCACCCTCCTAGGCGCGTGCGCTGGTCGTAGCTTTGCTGCTGTGAATGATGCAGAGGCTGTTGGCGGTGGGGTGTTGGTCCTTTCCAGCATGGTCTTGTAATACGGTAGCATTTCCTCCTTTAGAATGTGCTTAAGCAATGAGTACCCCTTTACTCCCTGTATTAAAAAAGGGAGACTCCCTTTTCGGGGTGGTACTTTTACAACCATCACTGAAAATTACATGGAGACGAACCCTGTCTTTGTCCTTCAGGCTCCCATTTCAGCAGCTTTCACAGCCATGGCCTGAGACTGCCAGGGAAGCGCTTAGCCCAGTGGTGTCGCTGCAGTTAGGATTTGTTCAGCTGGCAAAGAGGCGCACTTGTACGGCTCTTCACGGGACACAGGACATTACGTGGAGTCAGGCGCAGTGGCACACACCTGTACTTTCAGCACTCAGGAGGCTGAGGCGGAACATCGAAAGTTTGAGCCCGTCCCGGACAACTCAGTGATTTAGGAGACTGTGTCTCAAAAAATAAAAAGGACTGGGGCTGTTTCTCCATGCGAAGGCCAGAGGTTCGGTGTTCAGCGCTGGAACAAAAATGAAATGTGGGCCTTACTACTTGGGGTCTACCTCAGTGCTTTTGTCCAGACCACACCGCACCACCACCTCTCGGAGTGTTGTTCTTCCTCACGTTTCCCAGAGTTGTTGACTGTAATTTGAGCTAAAGATTTGATCTGTTTTAAAAAAAATTTTTTTGGTGCCAGGATCGAACTTGGGGCCTTGCGCTTGCAAGACAGGCTGCGGCACTGCTGAGCTAAATCCCCCGCAAGCTAAAGATTGCAACCCCCTCGCTCCCAGACAGTGTGATTGTGTGCTGTGGACTTGTTTCTTTGTGACCTGGGCTGCGCTGAGCTGGCTTGGTGCACACTCAGGCATTTGCCCTGCACTTGTTTATGATTTGTGCTGCCAAAGATAGTGTGTGCACTGTTGGCTCGGCCACTAGACGGGTTACCAGTTTTTAGTAGTAGCAGTATGCTTCTGTGGGAAGCAGAAAACAAAACTAAACTCATACACTTTTCCCTTCTGGGACAGCATTACAGCCTTCTGTGACTGATACGAAGGTTGGAAACTAGGAAGGTGTAAGGCAAGACTTGTAGGCCTGGTTTTCTGTCTCCTGTGAGCAGATGGAGGGGTGAGGCCTCTTGAGCAGCTCAGTTAACCTGGCCTGTGGATGTGTGCGCTGGAGGTGGCCACTCCCTGGCCGCGTGAACTCCTCACTGTCTCACTGAACCACCTGGGCCCTGCAGGAGGCCAGCCTGCTCTGTTCCAGTTTGCTGCAGGCTTGCCAGGCTTTCTGGGCTGCTGGGACACCCACCAGTGTCTGGAGGAGGACTGTGTTGGAGCAGCTGTCTTCGATATTTGGTGAAGCTGCTAAGAACCTCGGAGGATCCCTGGAAGGAGTTTTGAAGACTAAGATGGCCAGCTTTGGAGCTGGGAAAATAAATGCGTGGGATGATTCCAGTCTAGAACTAGACTCACTGTTCCCACATCTGCCTAACGAGGTGTGTGGCCTGGAGGGTGGCTTAGAAGCCAGAGTTCTGCCCTCGGTGCCCACACCCCAGTGCCTGGCAGCTTCACTGCTGCTGCAGCTGTGGCCTCTGTGGCTCTGCTTCAGCTAAAAGGTGCGCAGCCAGCTGGGTGTGGTGGCACCTGCCTGTCATCCCAGTGCCGTGGGAGGCGAGGGCAGGAGGGTTGTAAGTGGGAGCCTACCCTGGGAAACATAGGGACTGAGACCTTGTCTCAGAAAAAGGGCTGGGATCATTTCCTAGTCCCATCAGGAAAGAAAATGGTTTTTCTCAAGTGTAGAGGCGAGGCTGTGAAAGTATAAAGTGGGCTGCTCGGGAAAGGAGTAGCAGGACAGCCCTAATTTGGGAGCCGGCAAGTTCTAATAAAGCAAAGCTGGTCTCGAGATAAGCTCATCGGCCACACTGCAAACCTATTGCCCTAGATTCTCAAGGACAAAGACACAAGGAGCAAATGACTGTAACTTGGGAATGCAAAATTAAAAGAAAAACGATTAAGTTATGATTTTGCCTCTAATTAGCATTCTCTGGTGGAATACAGCGGGGAAAAGTCATTCTGTTGAATGAGTGAAAACTCAGGACCCAGAGATGAAGGGCCGGGGAGAAACATCTGTTTCTCAGATCAGGAGCTAACTATTGGCAAGTAACTGGAGACACGTCAAGGTCAGTGTCCCATGACATGTTCACCCTCTCCCCTCACACAGGACAGGATCTCAAGGCCCTGCTTTACAGAGTCACCTAGAGACTTTATAATCACCCTGTTGGGGTTTCCACTGGGTGGCAAGAGTAGGACCCAGTCGGCCTGTGTATTCCTGGGTCTGTCCCCACCTGAAGCTCATGAGAGGCCTCTTCTCACTGGAAATTACATTTCCTGCAGGAGTGCATGTGCCAACTCTGTCTTGGCCCTTCTTTGTCACCGTAACATTAACTGCTCTGTGCTAAAAGTAAAAATGTTGTTCCAGTCCTGACCAGGAAGAGCTTGTGACCTGAAGATGCCAAGGATTTTAAAAGATCTGAGTTAAAAGACATTAATGTTTGTGTGTGTCAGTGGGGGTTGAACTCCCGCCCCTGGGCCTTTGCACTGAGGAACAACCTCAGTCCTTTTCATTTTGAGGTCCTCTTACTGAGTTGCCCAGGCTGGGCTTGAACTTGCAGTCTTCCCACCTCAGCCTCCCAGAGGGCTGTGATTGCAGGGTTCAGCACCATGCCCAGTATAAAAGGCTCAGTCTTTGGGTTCTTTGGAAAGGAGGCTAGGATCTGAGGTCAGAGATCTGCAGGAGTAGTAACTCCCTGAGTTTGAGAGGGGAAGCTAGGGATGTAACCCAGCAGTGGGCCAGAGGCCTAGAAACTTCTTGTTGGGGCATCATGTGAGCTGACTAATGGCTTTAAAAGTCATGTGAGTCAAAGGAGGGCCCAGTATTTCCGCTGCAAGTTAGAGAATTCCTCCTACCAGTCCCTCCAGTTCTTACATTGTTGATCTAAGGCAACAGGAATGCCCCACCACTGAGCTGCATCCCTAGCCCTCTAGTTTTTGAGACAGGTTCTTGCCAAATCACCCCAGCTTGTCTCAAACTTGGGATCCTCCTGCCTCAGCCTCTTCAGTAGCTGCAATTACAGGTGTGCACCACTACACTCAGCTTCTTTTCATTTTGATTTTTTCTAAGACTTGTGCAGGCTGGCTTCAAACTGTGGGCTCAAGCCACCCCCAGGACCTGGGACTATGGGTGCACACCAGCATGCCCACATTCAAGACTGCTGACTGGACGTTCTATACTCCCAGAACAGACTGGTGAAATAAGGCTCCATAAGGGCATTCAGCCCTGGGTGCACACAGATTTTTTTCCTGACTAGCTGGCCCAGGTTTTCTGCCAAGCTGGGAGCCAGCACAGTGTTAGGAACAGTGCACAGGTTCCCTGCCCACTGTGACCTGGGCTCAGGCTTCCTAGAGAAAATGGGCGCAGGAGGAAGCAATGATTAAATTGCGAGAGATTCAGTAGCAGCATCTGGAAGGAGGGAGAAGAAAAACATGTAAAGCTGTTCTCTGCTGTCCACCTACCACCATTGTATGTCAGGACTGCATATTTGCATCATGTAGCTTTTGTGTTTTTTCTGCCATCATTCTGTCATCCCAACAGATTTCTTGAAAATGCTACAGTTAATTCCCTCTATCTCAACCTGACCAGTTACCCCTAGTTCTAATTCCCTATTTGTTGTTGTAGCCCAGGCTGGCCTCAAACTTGCAGCAATCCTCCTGCCTCAGCCTCCTAAGGGCTGGGATTACAGGTGTGTGTCACCACGCTGGCTTGGTTTCCTTTTGCAAACATGATGCCAGAAGAGGTGAAGCTATTTGTAAAGTGTTCAGGCCCAGATTGTTTGGCCTCAAAGTCCAGGCTCAGTTCTAAACCATAATGGGATCCTCAAAAAAAAAAAAAGAATGTAGTGCTGAGAACAAATTACAGAGTAACAAGGAAGCTGCTCTCCGGGTACCTAGCTCCACATGCCCACTTCTACATCACTAAGTGAACTCAGTTACCAGACAGCTCACAGTTCCCTGTTTTAATCAAATCACAATTTAATGCTTGTAGTTGGTGGAAATGTGTCTCCTAAAAAAGATGCAGTTAACTCCTAACCCCGGGTACTTGTGAGTGTGACCTTAATTGAAAATAGTCTTTATAGATTTCAAGCCAAGATGAGGTCACACTGGATTAGGGTGGACCCCAAATTCAATAAGACTGGTCCCCCTTACCTCTTTTTTTACTGCTATCCAGGGGATTGAACCCAGGGCCTCCTACTGAGCTACAATTCCAGACCTTTTTATTTTTATCTAAATTGCTGAGTTGCCCAGGCTGGGCTCAGAATGTCAGTCTCCTGCCTCAGCCTCTCAAAGTACTGAGATTACAGGAGTATTGCCACCGTGCCTGTTTTTGTTTTGTTTTTGAGGCAGTGTCTTGCTATATAGGCCAAGCTGCAAACTGCCCTCCAATTTGTAATCCTCCTGCCTCAGACTCCTGAGTAGCTGGTGTTACAGGTGTATACCACCACACTTGACTCTCTACCTTTCATCTAGAATTTAAGTCCTTCGAGAGCAAAGACTTGATGTGGGTCTCTGTTGTTTGTCAAAAGCTGGTACAGTGACCAGATTTTGAATCCCGAGCAACTGAGTGGGGTTTTTCTGAGGTAGAAAGGGTTTTCAGTGAAGGCCCTGGCTGTCGTGGAGCTGGAGGTTAATTGATGAGTCTCTCCTGTCCATCCCAGCATGATGAGTCGCACTGCCACAGGCCCAAGGTCATTTCTTTCATTTTTTTGAGACAGGGTCTTACTATGTAGTTGAGACTGACCTAGAACTCACTATGTAGCCCAGGCTGGTTTTGAACTCACAGCGATCCTCCTGCCTTAGCCTCCTGAGTGCTGGGATTACAGGCATGCGCCACCACGCCTGGCCCAAGGTCATTTCTTTCATTTTTTCGAGACAGGGTCTTACGATGTAGTTGAGACTGACCTAGAACTCACTATGTAGCCCAGGCTGGTTTTGAACTCACAGCGATCCTCCTGCCTTAGCCTCCTGAGTGCTGGGATTACAGGCATGCGCCACCACGCCTGGCCCAAGGTCATTTCAAACCCGCACTAGTTTCCATTTGTGCTGTCCATCCAATCTGCGGTGTTCAGTTGTTCATGTGGTCCAGTTACTCAGATCTCAGGGGACAGAGACAGGGACTGAAGAAGGGACAGAGCTTACGTGGCACAGAGGGCAGGACGCATTCTTGTTCTGCACAGTGTCTGGGTTCTTGCTGCAACTAATTCTGCAACAAGGGCTGGGATGCCTGATACCGATGCAGAAAAATGTGTATGTGGGCTGTAGAAACGGTTACTAACAAGTTAGACAATTATCTCCCTGAAATAATAGCATGATTCATTTCTTTATGAAATGGCTGATTTCCTATTCCGTTTTTTTAAACTTTGGGGGAACTATTTCGTTTCAAGTAGACCTGGTTATTTTCTTGCCAATTAAAGATTTCCCTAAGGAACCATCTGTTTCTTAGAAAAGATCCTTGAATAGCTCTGCCTTGTCCCATGTATAGTTTTCATTTTTTTGCTCTCTAAAAGGATGTTAAATAGGTTAACATTTCTGAACTAAAAGTTCTTGGCACATGATTTGCACAGACGGTGTGTCTCATCTGACGGAGATTTACAGATTGACTTGCAGAGCTTGGATATTTTCATCAGCAAAAAGACAAACCACCGTAGAAATAATGAGCAATTTATAAACAGTGATTAGGCTTTCTCTGAGTCTGCCTATGACAGGTGGAGTTGGTATAAGACAACAAAGTAGCTTGATATTGACACAGCTCAGTGGTGGAGCCTAATGCGTGAAGCCCTGGGTTCACTCCCCAGGACTGGAGGGGAAAAAAATGACTAAAAAACTGAAAAAGAGTGCCGGGTGTGATGCCTGTAATCCCAGCACATGGAGGCTGCCTTGAGTTCGAGGCCAGCGAGACTTCAAACCAAAGAACCATTTTACCATAGCTGGGCTTGAATTTGTGATCCTCCTGCCTCAGCCTCCCAGAGTGCTGTGATGAGAGGCATGTACCGCCATGCCTGGCTTTTTAACTCATATCAACTTGTAATATCTATGTTTAATTTCATAAAACGAGATCAGTTAAATTTCAAGTAAGCTTTCACTAATCTACTAAATTTTAAATTTCAAAAAATCACTTTGAGATGAACCCAAGATCTAGATAACTTTTTTCTTTGTAGTATTGAGGACCGAATCCCAATGCATAATAAGCAAGTGCAGTGCCACTGAGCTAATCCCCATTCCTTTTTATCTTTTCGAGACAGGGCTTTGCTAAATTGTCCACGCTGACCTTGAACATTTGATCTCCTGCCTCAGCCTCCCAGCGTGCTGAGATTTCCACCCTGACCACACCTGGCTCCGTGTTTTCTAAATAGGCTAATGGCTGCACAACAAGTTACCCCTAACTTAGGAGTGTAAAGCAAGTATTTCTTATCTCGTAATTTCTGTAGGCTGCAGGGGTCTGTTGATGTTGATCACAGAGCTTGCCAGGGGCAGAGAATCCCTCATTTCAGTCTTTGGTGGGTGTGCTGGCTGGTCTTTCTTCCTTTTCATCCCTCAGCAAGTCTGGCTTGCCTTAGACTGTGTCACCTGAGAGAAAATGAGCCAGAGCGCACCTGTGATGAAGGACATGGTCTTTGGTAACTTCAGCTACGAACTGTTGTGTGATGGCTTGTGCTGTATGTGTTGTGATTAGTCACATAGATCAGCGTGGCCCAGGATGTGAGAGGACAGCTGTACAAGAGTATCAGGAAGTGGGGTCACTGGAGGTCATCTTGCTACAGAGGCTACGAAATCTCTGAAGTGTCCATATTCTGTGGAAAAATGTGAAAGCATTACCTAAACCGGGTGCGGAAGTGACACAATCCTGTAATCCTACCACTCTGGGAGACTGAGGCAGGATGATTGAATGTTCCAGCCCAGCCAGGGAAATGTAGTCAGATGTTGTCTCAAAAAATAAAAAAGGCAACTATAGGGTACGTGGTTTACAAATTTTTTGAGGAATTTTTGGAGTAAGAAAAATAAAAGTTTGAAGACTGCTGTTTAGACTGCCAGTTTTACACTAGTTTGTCTTCAGGCTCTCTATCTCCCCCATGTGGTGCCCCTTTATCATTTGTTTTTGAGGCAGGGTCTCTCTGTAGTTCATGCTGGCCCTAAGCTCACAATGTAGCCAGGCTGGCCTCGAACTCTCGGCAATCCTCCTGCCTCAGCCTCCCGAGTGCTGGGATTACAGGCGTGTGGCACCACGTCTGTCTTGGTACTACCTTATTTTAATAGTATGGCCAGTGGATGAAAGAAAATCGAAGTCATAATTTAGGTCCTCATTTGTGAATGGGAAAGATTTGAAATATGGACTGCCCCTAAATCCTAGGGCTTCTAGTTATGACAAAGTGAATTTTTAAAAAGAGAATTATCTAAATTGGGTGTGGTGGTGTAATCCTAGCATTCAGGAGGCTGAGGCAGGACTGCCATGAGTTTGAGGCTATCCAAGGCTACATAGTGAACTCAAGGTTAGTCTAAATTATAGCAAGACTGTTTCAAAAAATAATCAGCTGGAGTGTATGGTGCATTGATACCCAGAGAATAGAAAAATTTCTATTGTATACCAAAAAAAGGAAAACAAAACTAGACAGCTGTCACAATTTGCAGAGGGGAACTTCCTGCGTAGGTCATCAGTGTGCACATTTAATGAAGGCTCCTCATAAGTAGGCTAGGTTCAACTGACTGAAGCGAAAATTGTACCAATTATCTTGAAAATAATGCTAAGATTATAGTGGGGCATACTACAATAAACAAATTTAAACCAGTAGGTTTTTTTTTTTTTTTTTTTTTTTTTTTTTGAAAA